TCGTAATTGTCCGTGCAATTTTCTCGCAACTTAGCTAAACCATCTTCACCATCTGTCTGATATCTTTGCAAAAGTCTTTTGATATATGATGAAAGTTGTGATCGAATTTTGTCGTCTTCAACAATAAAATCAACCATAGTGTCGATATAACGCATTTCAGAAGTTTCATATTTTTTTAAGATATAAAATTTGCCTGATTGTTCATCAATATATGTATCTCTACTGTAAGATGTTGATGTTGATTTAATAATATTTATTCCATAACAATGTGATAAATGTATACGATCAACACAAACAAAATGCATACGATTAAATACAGATGATAAATAGATGGATCGAGCAGTAGATATATATTCTTTACTTAAAAGAAAATATTGAATAAGATCAATAGAACAACTATAGAAATCAGTTAGATTTATTGATAATTGTTCATTTTCAACATTCACTTTAGTTTGAATGATTTTATCAAGAGTTTCAATTGAAAAAAGCGAACGGAATTGTTCTTGAAAATAAGTATCAATGGCAAAACCTAAAAATAATAACGATATTAATTGAATATTCAATTTGTTCAGATTACCTGGTAATCTAATAATTGACAAAATATCTGAAAATAGATTGGCAATGTCTATGTCATGTGGATAAAATGGATGATCGGTATATTTTACTAATTTTTGTTTATCACCCATACACGGAATAAATTCAATATTAAGACATTTTTCTGCAATAAAAAGAAAAGGAAATATTTCTTTTGAAGTTATTTTTCAAAAACAATTTTCTTTACCTCGAACTTCATTTTGTTTGCTCTGTTCTACAGCTAGTTTTGTAATTATTTCAATAATCTGCCAAATCTTATTAATATCTTGATCAATCGATAATAATGGTAAATAATCATCAATTGTTGGATGTAATTCAACATGAAGTATTTTAAGAAAGAATGTAGTTAAAATAGAATCATCATTATAATAGGATCGTATAGGAATACGACCATTTGAATCTACAATTGTATCTTGTAATGACAATAGAGATATTGGATCATTCCAAAATGTTTGTTGAACGAATAAGAAATCACCAGTATTTTGAGTTCGTGGAATAAATATAATTGGCCATAAACGAAAACGACTGAGAAGATTACAAGTTTCATCGTTTGAAGCAAGAAAATCATAGATATGACGAAAATTTTCAATTGTATCAAGACATGATTGACGAAAT